GGGCCTGGCCTTATGTATTTTTTAATTGAAAATTTTATCATGAATATATGTACTTAAATTTTATTTAAAAACACATAAAAGCAGAGAATAGTATAATAAACCCATTAAGATTTAAAATATTTTAAATGTTGCCATGTTTTTCATCTCAAATTGTTATAAATCTAGAACAATCTTCTCCTCCCTCTTTTACCTTTAATTGGAAGAAACAGTCAGTTGTCCAGTAGGATATCCCACATTCTGGATTTGTCTGATTTGTTTCCTTTTCTTCTTTCCCTTTTCTTCTTTCCTGTAACTGGAAATTACACTTAAAGGCCTGAGCATATTAAGGATCAACATTTCTGTCAACAGAAAGCATACACTCTGGTTGTTCCACTTTTAGTAATGCTAACATTGATCAGTGGACTTTCAAATGTGAAGCTAGATTTCCCCTGCAACCAACAAGTAATCTGTGGATCAATAGTGCCTTGTGAATATCCAGTTCCTCATCACCCTTTCCTATAATGCTTTGTTCCCTAGATCTTGTGCACACATTATTGTGATTTTTGTAATTCCAACTTTTTTTCTATATTTATCTGGAATTCTGTAAAAATGAGCTGTCTCCCATCAACTAATTATATGGGTAATATTTTTACAGTTTTAAAATACTTAATTGTTAGTATTGGTGTGTGTCTTCCTGGGACTCCTTCCTGTGGGTCCTAGGAAGGCATACTATGCTCTGCTGATCTTTGTATTTGTTACTAATGCCTTCTGTAGCGATGGTACATAGGATGCATTTAATAAGCTCAACAGTATATCATCGAGTACTATCCTATTAAAGCTGAGTGAAAAAAAATATATCATTGAGTCAACTCGAAGATCTGGTGATTCTCTGCGAAAGGATTTGCCGGACTATAGATTATGCTTCAGTTAAAACTCAGAGACTTGACAATGAGGCTTATCTTACAAATTAAGTCCACTGTTCAAAGAAACAAAACAGAGAGTTTGATGCCATAAAGATTTCAGTTGCATATCCGAAATTCAAAGTGAGAAAAACACATTATCCTTAAGTGTATCTTCCTAGCAGTATTTCGCTAACTTTGGGTGGCGTAATTTTTGTCAACTCTTCGCAACGTGAACAAATACTTTTCATCACGTCCTTCTCCGATATTTTATTTTCAACGAAAACGCAAAGGGCGCTAGAACTTGAAAAACGGATGCTTTTGGGGCCGCTACGTTTCCTTGTCTTTAAACAACACTCATTAAAATATACGAACACTGTGAGTTATGTTTGATTGGATCATCCACACGTGCAAAACCCACCAAAATCCTATATGACTTCTGGGAGGCCGGTCCGCTCGGCTGGGGTTTCCGCAGCAGCGGGGCTCCCTTTCCTAGAAAGTCCGCGGCTCCGGCCCTCCCGGCGCCCGCACCTGAGGCTTCCTCGCCGCGGGATCAGGCACTGTCAGCTCCTCCGGGCCGCCCTCCGCCCGCACGACCCTCCTCCTCCCCAGCGTCGCCCGCCCCGCCCGCTCCCCTCCCCTCCTCGACCTTTTCCGCCACAGCTACACGCCGACTCGACGCTCTTCCGCCCGGGGCGCCCTCCCTGCCCCGCCCACCTGCTTCCCGCGGGCTCCGCGTAGCTGCGCCGCGCCCGCCTTTCCACGACTGGCTTCTGTTCCTGTCACTCTAGGGTCCGAGCCCGCCATTGGTCGGCTTCCGTTACGCCGCCGATGTGGAGTAGGGCCGAGCGCGGAACGCGAGGAGCTGCTGGGGTGTGTGTGTCGCAGCGGGTTTTCCACGGCGGTTTGCGGAGCTGCCGAGATGGAGCCGGTTGCGGAGGGAGCGAGTGTGACCGCAGTCCCTGTGACAGCTGCCGACAGCACGGAGGAGTTGGCCGAAGTCGAAGGAGTTGGAGTCGTGGGCGAGGATAATGACGCAGCCGCGAGAGGAGCGGAGGCCTTTGGCGACAGCGAGGAGGACGGCGAGGATGTGTTCGAGGTGGAGAAGATCCTGGACATGAAGACCGAGGGGGTACGTGGGGGGGCCGCGGCGCGGGATGGGCGGGGAGCTGCGGGCCCGACGGGGAGGACGCGAGCTGGAGACAGCGCGGGCGGACCCAAAACAGGGGCAGGGGAGGAATGTGAGAGTTCAGTGCAAGCTCGCGAAATCGTGGGAACAGCGAAGGGACGTTTCCGAGTGCACGCTTAGGACCGAGTCTGGGAGGGAAGCTTCAGCGAATTTTGCAGGATCGCTTTGGCCTAAGACGAAGCAGTCTGGGATGTGGTGTGTGGTGATCACAAGGCTGCAGGCAGCTGGTGAAGGACTTCTGTAGTCGCCAGTGTTGGGGCATGTGGTTGGAGCTGCTGCCCTTTGGAGTGATGGGATAGTGAAGTAATGCTTCTCGTCATGGTCCACTGTCCTCGCCATCGCTGCAGTGGTTTCCAAAACCTTAACTGACTCCCTGGTTTAAAATCTTCCGGAATTTTCATTTGCCCTCGGAGTAAAATCTCAATCTTACCCAGAGGGTGGCATTTAAAGGCCTTCATAAGCTCATCAGCATCATCCCTCCCTCCCCATGCGTTGTATAGATCGCAGCCACACAGACATACTTGAAATTCATGACACCATGCCTTGGTGTTTCCTGTTCTCCTGGCCTGGACAGTTCTCTGCCCTCTTCTTCTGGTGAAATCTTACTCCATCTTCCAAGGCCTCGGGGTGTAGTTCTCTGGGAAAGCTTTTTTTGACCCTAACCTCTGCAGAGGGAGGAGCTGCTTCTCCTCTCTGCCCTTTTCACTTTTTGTATTGACCTCTATGAAGGCATTTAAGCCATTATCGTTCTTTCTTTGCCTCTCCTGCTTTATGTGGGCTCCTTTAATCCAAGGGGAAACATGGACAATACGAAGATAATCTGTTTCAGTAGATGGATGTGAGGTACCCAAAGGGCCCCACGGTGGTCATTCTCTATGTTGTGTTCTTTTCATTGTCTCTTATTTCCCGTTGGTCATATGCTGCCTTGTGTCATTTTTTTGCCTATTCATTCAGCATTTTTTAAATCAACTACTGTATGCCAGGTGCTGTGTTAGGTCCGGACAATATCGAGATTAATTGCAGCATACACAGTTGCTAACAGGGGAAACTTTTCCTGTCTGTGGGGAGTTAAGTAATTAAGATCTGATGTCATTAATATTATTAATTGCAATAAAGATGGAAATGTTTTATGTATAATTTCTCCAAACATATTGTAAGCACCTTGAGGTGAAAGGAGGAGCCACTGTTAGACTATTTTGTATCACTTGCATTTAACACAATACTAGGCATGCAGGAGGTATTTGAAAAACATTTGGCTAGGGCCGGGCGCAGTGGCTCATGCCTGTAATCCTAGCACTTTGGGAGGCTGAGGCGGGCAGATCACGAGGTCAGGGGTTCAAAACCAGCCTGGCCAACATGGTGAAACCCCGTCTCTACTAAAATACAAAAAAATACAAAAATTAGCTGGGCGAGGTAGCGAGCGCCAGTAATCCCAGCTACTCAGGAGGCCGAGGCAGGAGAATTGCTTGAACCCCAGAGGCGAAGGTTGCAGTAAGACGAGATTGTGCCACTGCCCTCCAGCCTGGGCGATGCCCTCCAGCCTGGGCGACAGAGGGAGACTCCACCTCAAAAAAAAAAAAAAAAAAATTGGCTACAAGGATAAAAATCTTTAGAATTAAGGTGATTCTCATTCATACAGTGTTTAATTTTGCCAGCCTCAAAGATTGTAAGCATTGTGTACCTAAAGCCTCACCAGTCTAAAGAGGGTGAAACTAAGAAACTTATATGTGTAAGGCAATTAGGCTTTAGTGCTGTGAGTTAAAATTCAAGTTCTTGTATTTTTAGGTGCTCTTGTGAAGGAGTGATTTATAAGATTAAAGGTGATACCGCTTGGCTGTGTCCCCACCCAGAGTCTCATCTTGTTGTATTCCCCATAATCCCCACGTGTCAAGGGTGGGACCAGGTGGAGGTAGGATCATGGGAATGATTTCTCCCATGCTGTTCTTGTGATAGTGAGTCTCAATCTGGTGGTTTTATAAGCGTCTGGCATTTCCCCTGCTTGCACTCACTCGATCCTGCCACCCTGTGAAGAAGGTGCCTGCTTCTCCTTTGCCTTCCACCATGATTATAAGTTTCCTGAGGCCTCCCCAGCCATGCTGAACGGAGTCAATTAAACCTCTTTCCTCTATAAATTACCCAGTCTCGGGTATTTCTTCGTAGCAGTATGAAAATGGACTAATACAAAAGGTGTTAGCGGAGCAGGACTATGGCAGTTTTCTCTTCACTGCTGAGTGAACCAGCCGGTTAGTTAGCCACCTAGCCATTGACAAACTTAAGGGCCCTGCTAGCGGTTTGTTAGGCCTCCTTATAGTCTAGTCTAGAGTCTATAATCAGAAACACTTAGAATTGATTCACTTTTTACTAGTTCGTAATATTTCTTGATTCTAACTATATGTGTGAATAATTAACATAAGAACTGTGGAAATACATGCATACACCACTATTCCAAATTATTATAATTTATTTGGGGTAATAGAGTAAGCAGAAAATTAAATTCTAATACTGTATATTGCTTAATTTCCTTTTTTGTTTTTTTTTTTTGAGACAAGTTCTCTGTTGCCCAGGCTGGAGTGCATTGGCATAATCATGGTTCTCTGCAGCCTTGACCTCCCAGGCTCAAACAGTCCTGCCACCTCAGCCTCTCAAGTAGATGGGACTATAGGTGTGCTCTACTGCGACTAATATTTTAATTTTTTGTAGAGATGGGGTCTCCCTACGTTGCCCATACTGGCCTTGAACTCCTGGGCTCAAGTGATCCTCCACCCTTGACCTCCCAAAGTGCTGGGATTTACAGGTGTGAGCCACTGTGCCAGACCAGTTTTTTTATATTTTTAACAAACATTTTAAACTGTTGCTCTAGTGTATATGATCTGGTAGAATAGGGGCCTGCCTGTTAGTTTGGCTCACTGATTAAAGGAAACTTTGGCTACCAAGAAATAGACTACTTCTGGAATTTTGAAGTCAAATTTATAAATCCTAGGGCCATCATGCAATTTCCTAATACATGGCAAAACCCTGGACAATTTTTTGGATTTACATGACTCCATACAAGGACATGGAATTCAGGGATTTCATCTGTATTTGTATACTGCCATGCTCCTAAAACTCAAAAGGTTCCTGAAACATAGTGGCTACGTTCAATAACTATTTGTTGAATGAGTGAATGAATGAAGCATACCAGTTGAAGTAAAGGGTAACAATTATCAGTAAATTAAATCTGGAGCTATTGAAAATTGTTCTTAATATCCTCCTTCTCATCAATTAGCTCAAATTTCATTGATAACTAGCATTAGATTAATAACTATGTTAATGTAAAAGGTAGTTTTCTAGTCTCCACTGCTTTTTAAAAATTATCAGAAATGTTGTAAGAATTAGATAGACTCTCGTGTACCTTCACCCCGATTCTCCAGTTGTTAAATCATTTATCTATTTGTCTTTTTTTTCAGTTTATATACATTTTTGTCTGGCCCATTTGAAAGTGGTGTTTTTAAGGGCTATGTTGAATAATGCATTTACCACCATTTTTATGCACACACACAAATAAGGATCATTTTTGTTCCCATGACCTGTTGCTGATAAAATTAGCATATTCATTTGCTGTTTATAATAACTCTTCATATGATGCTTATTCTTTTTTTTTTTTTTTTTTTTTGAGACGGAGTTTCACTCTCTCGCCCAGGCTGGAGTGCAGTGGTGTGATCCCAGCTCATTGCAGCCTCTGCCTCCCGGGTTCAAGCAATTCTCCTACCTCAGCCTCCTGAGTAGCTGGGACTACAGGTGTGCACCCCCGCGCCTGGCTAATTTTTTGTATTTTTAGTAGAGATAGGGTTTCACTGTGTTGGCCAGGATGGTCTTGATCTCCTGACCTCGTCATCCACCCACCTTGGCCTCCCAAAGTGCTGGGATTACAGGCATGAGCCACCGCTCCTGGCCCTGATGTTTATTCTAAAACCAAATATATTGCTTTCTTTTAGGCAGTTCTGCATGCTATTGACTAAGATTTCTTTTCTTTCCCCCCATTCATGCAAGCTTAGCTGTGCTGTCTCATCTTTAATTTCTTCAGTTTTAATTATGCTTTTACAGAAGACAGAAGCTCTTACAAAGTTGTATACAATAGTTTTCCTTTTGTATATTATTTTGCCCGAAAGAATATGCATATATTCTCAATGGATAAAATCACCATCTTCCCACCCATTTAATGTAGCTGAACAATAAGACTGCATTGATGTACTCTTAACTATTATTTTAAAATTTTAAGGCTTTTCAGGCTTATCTTTAAAAGTTAAGATTTTGAGTCCAGGAGTGGTGGCTCAACGCCTGTAATTCCAGCACTTTGGGAGGCCAAGGTGGACGGATCATGAGGTCAGGATATCGAGACCATTCTGGCCAACATGGTGAAACCTCGTCTCTACTAAAATACAAAAAATTAGCCGGGCATGGTGGTGTGCGCCTGTAGTCCCAGCTACTCGGGAGGCTGAGGCAGGGGAATCACTTGAACCCAGGAGGCGGAGGTTGCAGTGAGCCAAGATCGCGCCACTGCACTCCAGCCTGACAGAGCGAGACTCTGTCTCAAAAAAAAAAAAAAGTTAAGATTTTCAATCTGTTCTTTTTCCGATATTTCTTGAGTTCAGATTCTACTCAGTGCTCGTACTTGATCTTTCTACACAGATAACTGAATGATTGAAGGGCAGTATTGGTACGATTGAAGGGTAAAATGGGTGGGAGCAGTTCTTGGCACTTTGCTTGGAAAGTTTATTGCCTTGGTGGTGGTGTGAAGAAAATCGGGCAAGTGTTAAGTGTGTAGCTAGAATGGTGCTCTGCAGTTCATGTTGACAGTCAGGTTTTATATTCGTGATTCTCAGTGAGATTGGGTATTAAGCAGAAAAGATAAACCAGACATCTGAAGAAGCAAAACTTTGCAATATATATTACAAAGATTTAATTGCCTTAAAAAGTATTAGAGAGATTCTTATAGATGAGCAAGAAAATGGGTAAAAGACACAACAGGTAATTAATGTTTTATTGTGGTTATGTATATATATCGTAAAATTAGCCATTTCAGCCATTTCTTAGTATGCAGTGCAGCAGCATTCATTGCATTCACCAAGTTGTGCAAGCAACACTATTATTTCTAAAACCTTTTCATCTTTCCAGAGACTCTGTAGCCATTAAGCAGTACTGGTACTTGGTCTTTTTACACAGATGGCTGAATGATTGAAGGGCAGTGTGAGTATGATTGAAGAGTACCCATCCTGCCTACCTCAAGTCCCTGGTAGCCTCTAATGTACTTTCTGTCTCAATGAATTTGCCTATTCTAAGTACCTCATGTAAGTGGAATCATAAATATCCTTTTGTGTTTTGTAGCATAATATTTTCAAGATTCATCTGTGTTGTAGCATGTGTTGGGATCTCCATCGTTTTTGGGGCTGAATAATTTTCCACTGTGTGGGGAGACCCCACTTTATGTGTCCATCAGTGGACACTCGGGTCGCTTCTACGTTTTGGCTGTTGTGAACAATGCTGCAGTGAACACTGGTGTACAGATATTTGTTTGAATCCTTTTGGAATTGAAAAATAGGGACTACTTTTGGAATTGCTGTGTCACAGGATGATTCAATGTTTAATTGTTTTAGAAACTGCCTGATGATTTTTCATAGCAGCTGCACCATTTTACGTTCCAAACACTAATGTAAGAAGGTTCCGATTTCTCTACGTCCTTACTAATGCTGCTATTTTCTGTTTCTTTTTGGTTTTTTTTTGCCATCTAAAGGTGTGAAGTAGCGTCTCATTTTGTAGTTTTGACTTGCATTTTTCCCTAAGGACAAATGATGTTGATCATCTTTTCGTTGTTGTGTTTATATATTCTGGATATTAATTCCTTATCCGGTATATGATATGCAAATATTTTCCCATTCTGCGTGCTATCTTTTCACCTGTTGGTAATGTCCTTTGATGCCTAACAGTTTTTAATTTTGATAAAATATAGTTTATCTATTTTTTCTTTTTGTTTGGGCTTTTGATGGCGTATCAAAGAATCTGTAGCCGAACCCAGGGTTGGCTGCTTGCCACTCGAAAGCGAGACACAAGAGACGAGGGTTGATGAGAGAAAAGCGGATTTATCCAGAAAGCCAGCGAAACTGAGAAGATGGTGGACTGTTATCACAAAGAACATCTTAAATTTTAAAATTTGCCATAGGGGGCTGGGTGCGGTGGTTCATACCTGTAATCCCAGCACTTTGGGAGGCCAAGGCAGGCCGATCACTTGAGGTCAGGAGTTCAAGACCAGCCTGGCCAACATGGTGAAATCCCATCTCTACTAAAAATACAAAAATTATCCAGGCGTGGTGGTGCATGCCTGTAATCCCAGCTACTTGGGAGGCAGAGGCAGAAGAATTGCTTGAACCCAGGAGGCAGAGGTTGCCGTGAACCGAGATTGCGCCACTGCACTCCAGCCTGGGCAACACAGCAAGACTCTGTCTCAAAAAAAAAAAAAAAAGAAAGAAATTACTATAGGGTTTTTAAAGGGCAGCTTGGTATGGGAGACGTGGGGGAGTGGTGCAGGGTCTGTGCGTCTTTGTTTGGATGGCTCTTTTGGGTAGTCACCCATCTGGAGGTCTGGTTGGCGCTGGTGGTAGCCTAGTTACTTGCCACTCCTCCTGAGCAGGAGGATGAGCCACCGCGCCTGGCCTAACCTCTGGAATTCGTTAAGCAAGAGCATAATTAGATGAGCATGCATTGCTGGAAGAGAGTGTCTAGAGAGGGAGGGAATTAAGGGGTAAGAGAGGAGGGAAGGAAGAAAAGTAAGGTGATTAAAACATATTTTAAAAACTGAGGTCCCGAGTTACAGACACATTGCCAAATCCAAAGTCATGAAAACTTATTCCTGTGTTAAGAATTTTATGGGCTGGGTGCAGAGGCTCATGCCTGTAATCTCAGCATTTTGGGAGGCCAAGGTAGACAAACTCTGGAGCCCAGGAGTTTGAAACCAGCCTGAACATGCCGAAACCCCATCTCTACTAAAAAATACAAAACTCAGCGGATCATGATGGTGCCCACCTGTAATCTCAGCTACTTGGGAGGCTGAGCAATGAGAATCACTTGAACCCGGGAGGCAGAGGTTGCAGTGAGCCGAGATCGTGCCACTGCTCTCCAGCCTGGGCGACCCTGTCTCAAAAAACAAATAAACAAAAACAGGCTCTGGGGTAAGACTCTGGGTTTGAATTTCAGCTGAACTACCCATTAGCTGTGTGCTCTTTGACTACTTTATCTAGAAGCTTTAGTTTTCTCATCTATAAAATGAGTAATACTACCTAGTTCATGGGGATATTGTAAATATTAATGATGAACTAATAAATTTAAGATTTAGACAGTGCATGACACATTGTGAAGCACTTGATGAATGTAATTCTCTTGATTTCCCTTTAATATTTAAAAATACAGAACGATTCTTAGATCACAAGATGGGCAAAAACAGGAGGCAGGCCCTGCTGTGGTTTGCTGACCCCTGATGTAGAGAGATGGACTCTTGTATCTGGTGGAGTGTTAATTTGAGCATTTCTTCTTGAAGGCATTTGGCAGTGTGTTTTAATCTTTACATGGCTTGCCTTTTTTTTTTTTTTTGAGATGGGATTTCACTATGTTGCCCAGGCTGACTTCGAACTCCTGAGCTTAAGCAATCCTCCCACTTCAGCCTGTCAAGTATCTGGGACTCTAGGTGCCTACCACCACGCCTGGCTGCCACCAACCCTGGAAATGGCTGTTTTTTTTTTTACCCCATTGATCTCCTTTCTGGGAATTTATTCTAACTGCTTAATGAGAGATACACAGGGATATTACAGCTTTATTTATAAGTAGAGAAAAAAAAAATGGAAATGATCTAAACAACCCTGGTAACAAAGGGAGCATTTTTGTAGTATTTTTTGTTGTATTTGTATGATGGAATAATCTTAAGTCACTAAAAATCGTTTGGAAAGTTATAACAAAAAGTGCTTGATACATAAGTGAAAAAGCAGTATTAAAAATTATAGTATTATCCTAATGTTTTAAAAACATTCTAAATATGTATTAATGTAACAGGTGAAGGAAGCAGATCAAATTGTTACCAGTATCTATTTATTATTTGGTTCTTCCTATCTTTTCTATTTTTCATTGCTTTTCAAGAATTACATATCGCTTTATGGAATCAGAATGGGACTTCAGTCTTTGGTTTATGAAAAACAGATCAATGACACACGGTTTTTTTTTTTCATTTCTCTCTCTCGTTTTCTACACCAGCCTGTTGCCCAGGCTGGAGTGCAATGGCACCATCTTGGCTCACTGCAATCTCCGTCTCCTGGGCTTAAGTAATCTGCCCACTTCTGCCTCCCAAGTAACTTGGACCACAGTTGCATGCCACCGTGCCCAGCTAATTTTTTTTTTTTTTTTTTTGAGATGGTGTCTCGCTCTTTTGCCCAAGCGGGAGTGCAGTGGCTCAATCCCTGCTCACTGCAACCTCTGGCTCCTGGATTCAAATGATTCTCCTGCCTCAGCCTGCCAAGTAGCTGGGACTACAGGTGCGCACCACCATCTTTTTTTTTTTTTTTTTTTTGAGACAGAGTTTTGCTCTTGTTGCTCAAGCTGGAGTGCAATGGCGTGATCTCGGCTCACTGCAACCTCTGCCTCCTGGGTTCAAGCGATTCTCCTGCCTCAGCTTCCCAAGTAGCTGGGATTACAGGTGCCCGCCACCACACCTAGCTAATTTTTTTGTATTTTTTAATAGAGACAAGGTTTCATCACGTTGGCCAGGCTGGTCTTCAGCTCCTGACCTCAGGTGATGCGCCTGCCTCGGCCTCCCAGAGTGCTGGGATTACAGGCCTGAGCCACTGCACCTGGTCGATACTTTGTTTCTTAAGCCACTTTTCTCAGGAGATGCAATTTAGAAGCAATTTTCAAGTTCGTTCATGTCTTCTCAGTTTTGTTTTTGTTTTTTTTTGAAATTTAATCAAGTTAGTGATCTGCTTTATTTGCCTCCTTTTATTTTCTGTAACAGGGTAAAGTTCTTTACAAAGTTCGCTGGAAAGGCTATACGTCGGATGACGATACCTGGGAGCCCGAGATTCACCTGGAGGACTGTAAAGAAGTGCTTCTTGAATTTAGGAAGAAAATTGCAGAGAACAAAGCCAAAGCAGTCAGGAAGGATATTCAGGTACTATGTTTTGTCTCATACTTGTTTTTATGTACATAAATTTATTGTAAATTTTAACTCTTTTAAGTATGTGTAGTAAATGATTTACAAATAATGAAGTGTACAGTATTCCTTAGTGTAAATTCCATGTAGCCAATTCTCACAGACTGCTTTCAGTGATTTTTGCTGGGTTCTTCTTTCTGTATCCAACCTACAGTTGCAGTTGACAAACAAGAATAGTTTGGAGATGAATATTGATACTTTCCTTTAAGTTAAGAGTAAGGTAAAAGTGGAGAAAAAAGAGACATGCCAAACTGTCATTTGTTCGTCCATGATATGAACAACTAGATTTTGTATATTTTATTATATTTATTTTGCATTATCAACCTATGTCTTATGCCTGCTTTTTCTGCTAGTTAAAACAAATTATCTGGTAAGGACCTGGTTTTAAAAAAAAAACAAAAAAAACTTAGAACTATATAGCCCATCTGTACTAAAAAATACAAAAATTGGCCATGCGCGGTGTCTCACACCTGTAATCCCAGCACTTTGGGAGGCCGAGGCAGGCGGATCACAAGGTCAGGAGATGGAGACCATCCTGGCTAACACGGTGAAACCCCGTCTCTACTGAAAATATGAAAACAAAAAATTAGCCAGGTGTGGTGGTGGGCGCCTGTAGTCCCAGCTACTCGGGAGGCTGAGGCAGGAGAATGGCATGAACCCAGGAGGTGGAGCTTGCAGTGAGCTGAGATGGTGCCACTGCACTCCAGCCTGGGCGACAGAGCGAGACTCCATCTCAAAAAAAAAAAAAAGAAAAAAAAAAGAACTATATATAGTGAAGATATCTCACATTAAGAGAATGATTCTCATTATTTTATAGGCTGAACGTTGATCTTTCTCCCTACAATTTAAGTTTCACCTATGTTTTTTAAAATACATGGTCTTTTTTTAAATGACCAAAACAATATTAGTTTTAGTTTTGACTGTGTGCATTCGTTGTTAATAATAATAATAATAGCAATAGCAGAAGTGCCTGGCATTTACTGAGCATGTGTGTTTGCTGCATAACTACCATACACTGGGCCAGAATGGTTTAGTAAGTGAAGCAATCCCTTAGTAAAGCAGGTGTCTTCAAAAGGTGGCCACTGGTCTGTTGTGAGCTTTGAGTGATGTTATGTGACACTGATGGACTTCTGCTGAACTGTTCTGTCGACACTGTAGTATTTTTAGCTTTTTTTCTTTTTTGAGTAAACATGGAGTGTCTCATAGGGGTCAGACCCCTAAACAGTTCCAATTAGAGAAAGATAGGTAAAATCTGTTTTCTGTGCTTGATCTGCCTTTGGGTTATACATAGATATATTATTTTTTCTTTTCTTCTCACTTATTTATTTTTAAATACAGAGTCTTGCCTCTGTCACCCAGGCTGGAGTACAGTGGCACAATCATGGCCTACTGCAGCCTCAACCTCCTGGGCTCAAGTGACGATCCTCCCACCTCAGCCTCCCAAGCAGCTGGGACTATAGATACATGCCACTAGGCCTGGCAAATTTTTTTTCTTTTTTCCAGAGACAGGGTCTCTCTCTGTTGACAGGCTGGTAGGAACTCCTGGCCTCAAGTAATCCTTGCACCTTGGCCTCCCAAAGTGTTGGTTGGGATTGCAGGCATGAGCCACTGTGCCTGACCTGATTTTTCTTTTAAAAGATGGTACCATATACTGATAATTTTGCCTTTTGCCCTAACTTTAAAATAATCTTTTATTAATATTTTATTCAGAAAACAAATATGGGCATTTTTTTGGCACCATTACATTCTTAGAGATGCTTTTATTCAACATGTTACTATTGGTGCTAAAACTATTGCACATTTAGCTGGGAACCCCTTCATACCAGTCCCTGTGTCCTGGCGCTCCCTCTCAGGGTAGCACTGCTCTCTTTTCTGGCACAGTGGCACATCCCAGCCTCAACAGATCCATGCTGACCTCTGTAACTCGGCCTGTCACCACAGTGTCACCACAGAGACCTGTGTGTACTCCCTTTTCCTACCAGGAGAACTCTGGTCACAACAGTATTGCATGTCCTTATTTACTAAATCTTACAATACAGAGAAATTAACCTCAGATTTGCTGTGCCCTTTCTACTATGAATGACAAACAGTATTTGTTTATCAACCTATTTGATAAAGTTCCACATTTATTTGCAGTTCTTTTTGTTCTTAGAATATATGCAGTGTTTAATGTTCAGAAGTTACTTGAATTTTTTTTTCTGTGTGGTTATCAATTTTATAAACAGGTTCATTTGTCTGCCTGTATTCAGTTTTAGGGTTCCCCCATCCTTGCTGATGCAGTTTTGTTGAGTATGTAAAATACTTACTGTGGTTTGAAGGATAAAACTAGAAATTAACTGGGACCTATCTTCTCCCTGCCCTCTCTCTCCCTCTATATCTAATTTGAAATACTGTCCTTTACTCCCATTTAATAACTATAATCAGCAAGCATAATATTCCTTCAATACGTTCTCACCACGTCTCCCTGTTGTTTTCTAGATACACTGTACCTTGTTAGAATATTTAGTCACGCATACTGCAGTCTCTCTTACAACTCTCATTCAGTCTTAGTCCTAGAAGCAAATACATAATCAGTGCTTTCCACCAGTCCTTATGGTGATGTCTGTCCAGTCATTTTTGGTTATCTGAAGCTCATGCTTTAGTACAGGGCTTCTCAAAGTATGGACTCTGGCAGGAGCGTCAGTCCCCAGCAGGGGTGCGTGCGAGAGTGTGCCACCCCCCTCTGTGGTAGGAAGGCTCCGGAGAACAGTCTTCACGACTTCTTTTGTTTCCTAACAGTTTGTTGGCAGCGTTTCTATCTGAACGCCAGTTGCAGATTCCTTAGTGCACATTTTCTTTTCTCAGGTGTCTTACTGGGTTAATCCATTATCATCTGGCACAAAACATTGTTCTTGATGACCAGTTGAGTTTATTTGTCTTGTAAGTGACTTGGGTCTTTTTCCTGATGCTCTGAAGTTTTTGTTTTTCTCTTCCATTTTATAGACGTGTCTTTTTGGTATGCTTCTGTTGTTTTTAGCATAGTCAGCCTGGCTAATTAAAACAATTTTTTTTGATCTTTTATTTCTGTCTTCTCGGCCTGCTTGGTTTGGAATCTAATCCTAGCAGCTTTTCCTCCTTGTGTGGCTTGGTCCTGGAAGTCCTGAGGAGAGCTTCGCTGGTCCCTTTTGCAGGGCCTGGGAGGGGCCAGCCACCTCTCCCCTTCTCGCCTGCCTCGCCCAGTGCGCATGAGGACCCACCCCGCAGCTGCTCTCTCAGGCAGGACCCGCCTGGGCTTTTCCAGATCGTTGCCTTCGCTTCCCCTGAGTGACCATCCACACCACATGGGCCTTACCACTGTTTTAGTTTTGGTAAGGCTTGCGTGGTATGGACTTCGGACTTACCAAAACCAAACGCTGTCTGCGGGGAGTTTTGTTTTGCTATCCTAGTTGTCTTGTTTTTTATGAGGTGATTCAGGGAGATTGGAAAGGTTAAGTCAGTGCCACCATATTCCCACTCGTTAACCTTGGTGGCGTCCATTTCTTAGGCAGTGTAGGGAAGACATTTTTAAAGTATATCTGGTCGGGTGCCGTGGCTCACCCCTGTAATCCCAGCACTTTGGGAGGCCAAGACAGGATCATTTGAGGTCAGGGGTTCAAGACCAGCCTGGCTAACATGGTGAAACCCTGTCTCTACTAAAAATACAAAAATTAGCAGGCCATGGTGGCGCATGCCTGTAATCCCAGCTACTCATGAAGCTGAGGCAGGAGAATTGCTTGAACCCAGGACCCAGGAGGCAGAGGTTGCAGTAAGTCACTGCACTCCAGCCTGGGCGACAGAATGAGACTCTGTCTTGTAAAACAAACAAACAAACAAAAGCTATCGTTTCCATCCCTTCTCTCTACCCCCAAGTCATTTAGGATACGGTGGTTTTGGGAAATGGGAACTGAAAATACTTTGCATAGTGTTTTTGTGTCTATACAAGTACTTTATTCTTAAGTTTCTTTTTTTCAATTTTAATATAGGAAAATATTTTTTCATAAGCAATATTTCAGATAACACATGAATTTGAGAAGTAAGATTTGTGTGCAGTCTTGCTTGTTCTGTACATAACTGTCAAATGTAGGAGCAAGTTTAAGGACATTCCGGGATCCAGGGTCTTAGAAAACGTTTCGTATTTGCATTGGTAACTACTTTATTGGCAGCCAAGAAAGTCTGTAAAAATTACTTTCTTGGTGGTTTTGGAAGTGTTGAGGTTCAGATCATTTACAGCCCACCATACCTGCGTCCGCTCACTCCTGCTTTGGGCTGGGCCCTCAGCAGCACTGTGTTTCTGTGCGCTCCTGCTTTCCAAACTCACACGTGCCCTCACTGCCAAGACCTGTTTGCTAAGTCAGAGATAGAGGCAGCGTACGATTTCAGCTTCGGTAAGCGGTTTTAAGACGTTGAGATTCTGCTTGGAACAAAATATATTCTTACCAAATTTCATTAGTACTACTTTTCAAAACCTTTAAAATCAATATGTTTATGAATATTTTAATCTTCTTTGTATTTTCTAGAGACTGTCCTTAAATAACGACATCTTTGAGGCGAACTCTGATAGCGATCAGCAAAGCGAGACAAAAGAAGATACTTCACCAAAGAAGAAAAAGAAAAAATTAAGGCAGAGAGAAGAGAAGAGCCCAGATGATCTGAAAAAGAAAAAAGCAAAGGCCGGGAAGCTAAAAGACAAGTCCAAATCAGACCTGGAGAGCTCCTTGGAAAGTTTAGTTTTTGATTTAAGGACAAAGAAAAGAATTTCTGAAGCCAAAGAAGAACTAAAGGAGTCCAAAAAGCCTAAAAAAGATGAAGTAAAAGAAACAAAGGAATTAAAGAAAGTTAAAAAGGGTGAAATAAGAGATTTAAAGACGAAAACAAGAGAAGATCCCAAAGAAAATAGAAAAACAAAAAAAGAAAAATGTGTCGAGTCCCAGGTGGAATCTGAATCAAGTGTACTTAATGATTCTGCCTTTCCAGAGGATGACAGTGAAGGGCTACATTCCGACAGCAGAGAAGAGAAACAAAACACTAAAACTGCGAGAGAGAGAGCAGGGCAGGACACAGGGCTGGAGCATGGCTTTGAGAAGCCGCTAGACAGCGCCATGAGTGCTGAGGAGGACACCGACGTCAGAGGCAGGAGGAAGAAGAAGACCCCGAGAAAGGCTGAGGACACGAGAGAGAGCAGGAAGCTCGAGAACAAGAACGCTTTCTTAGAGAGGAAAACTGTGCCTAAGAAGCAGAGGAATCAAGACAGAGGCAAAAGTGCTGCAGAGTCAGAGAAGCTGATGCCTGTGTCTGCCCAGACGCCAAAGGGCTGGAGGTTGAGCGGGGAAGAGAGAGGCTTCTGGTCCACTGACTCAGCCGAGGAGGTAAGGGCCACGGAAGGCAGCAGAAAACCCATGTTGAGTGGTCAAGACATTTCACAAGCAAAGAAAGGGAAGCAGCCAAGCTGTAAGAAAGTGTTGATGACTGTGGGCGGTCATAAATGAAGATCCTCCAGCTTTTGGACACCGCAGCTTTCTCTTAGTCTCTGGTTTGTTTCTCTTAGAATGATGATGACTAGAAAATTAAAGGCTAATTTGTGAACAAGTAAGGATGGTTTTTAGAGGTACTCAGATGATATATGGAGCATTGTATACTCAGGTTTATAGCTTCATCAGCTTATTTTATTGGTTTTTCACATCCTACTTGGTCATTTCCCCTGTTGTCTTGAGTATACCACTATTAAATAATAGGACACAAAGTACATCAACAAGTATTTTAATTAAATTTAATTAATTAAATACGCTTATAAAAACGTATTTAATAGAGAATTTGTCCCATTATAAAAATTATTTTTATATGGCTTTGCAAAATGGATGTATTTTCCAAATTATGAGAGTATTTATATATGCAGTATTTATCAAGGGCTATAAAGAACATCATTTTTTCATTCATTATTTCCAGTTTTGGGAATTTATTTTAAGGAAATCATTTTAAAGGAAAAACTGTGCATACATAGTTATTCATGGCAGAATTATCTTCATTAGTGAAAAATGGATAGCAATCTGACTTTCTAGCCATAGGGGAAATGGTTAAGGAAACATTGATATGTCAACTTGGGGACCATTAGAACTACTGAAATATTATGAGGTCAGTGTAGCGAAATAGAACAACTCAGACAATGCAGTGGAGAAGAAGAGCCTACATCAGTGTGAACACAGTCGTAAAAATATGTGTGTAATGTAAACAAAAATGAATTTTAAAAAAGATTATCCATGTAAAAGTACAAGGACCAGAAGGGGAACATGGAGAAGTAAAATAGTCATGGTTGGTTAAGACTATGGGTGGAAAACTTTCTTCGAATTTCCTTTTTTTTTTCTAAATAAAATTCCTAAAAGAGGGTGGGAAAACTGGTGTTGGGCTTTGAATTTGGTATTTTGTGAATTATCATATGGTTGACTGAGGAAGCAAAATTCTTTTGTGTGAGAGGATTTAATGATCAGTGATCATGTACCACAGTACACAAGGGTGGTTCCCTGAAGCCACAAACCTGTATTTTCCGGTTCTCAAATAAATATACAGCGTCAACTCTTTATCATTCTTGTTTGGATATCATGTCATTTTCAGGACAAAGAGACCAAAAAAACTGAATCCAAAGAAAAATATCAGAAAAGGCACGATTCTGACAAGGAAGAAAAAGGCAGAAAAGAGCCAAAAGGATTAAAGAGTGAGTGTAAATGTTAACGTTTTACCATTTACATTGCTGTCTGATATACAAATAATTAACCAGTTACATTTATTACATTTATTATGTAAAAATTCATATAATTTTTTTCCGTTATTTTCACCTTGTTTTTCCTTTTTAATATGATGAGGGATCAGATTAGAATTACTGAGACAGGAAATCAGTTATGGTAGAAAAATAAATGTGTTTTTTATAGCAGATGCTAAATTTTAAAACATACCTTTTAATATATTCATTATAAGTAAGTCTGTGTCATTTGTGTAAAATATAATATTGAATATGCATTTTGGATCACTTCAAGATAGACCATAATAGAAAATCCATAATATATATCAATATTGGAACAAATACTTTATATTTCTTAAAAACAAACAAAAAAACACCATTACAGTGTTTGAATAAACCCTAGCAGATAAATATTTAGTTTCTGTAGCAAAAGTACTTGGAACACATGTTTTCTGGCAAACAGTGGTTCTAAGAGATGAATGATTTTCCTTGGGTTTTCTTACTGAAAGCTGAATGTAACTGAAGTAATATTACAAGTCAGTTTCTCCTAAGCCTAGGCTGGTTTTGGCAGTGGAGGCAGCTGAATGAAGTGGCAGGAGCAGTGGCTTTGTTTCAGTGGGTCCCACGTAAAGTGGCTGTAAGATTGCTGTTCAAAGCAAAACAAAAATCTTCAATGCCTTCTGTTCGTCAATAACTAGAGGTTCAAAATACTGTAAAACTGGACCTGGCCTTCTTAACCTTTTTTCCTCCTAGTATCTTGTATGTCAGTTTTAGATACGTTTTTACTGTGAACATATAGCCTTAAATGGAACGACTGTTTGTCCCATTCATAAGGGTACTCACTAGAGTCCAGTTTTCAATATTCCCTGATAACAAAACCTGTCTGCTGTGTACCTAGAGTTTATAATAGAATTCATCCTAATTCTCTTCTTCTTGGGGTTATTTCTAATGTCAGGTCTAGTGTCTGCCCGTTTTCTTCCCACTTTCTTTAGTTAAAAGCTGGTAGCATCAGGTACAGTTTTACCAGGTACACGGGCAGTGCTCTGGCACCCTGCTGTTTCCCTCACTTGCCACCAGAAACCATTTTGGTGCAAGCCTCAGGATCCAGCTATAGACAGTCTGATGTCTTTAGCTGTGGGAAAGGTGCTGGTGTGACTTGGATCACTGAGACTCATCGCCTTCAGTAGGCCTTTGTCACAACTGCAGGTGAGTAGTTCAGAACATCTGCTTAACAGCCGTTCACACTGGACATCCTTTCTGAATACTGAGCAGCCAGTAGAAAGACCAGCTGAAACGATTTTTTGGCTTTGACAGTAAATCAGACCAGGCTTTATAAGCTAGGTGGATGTTAGTAAAAAGAAAATATCTTGTTGCTTTAACACTAACTTAGATTTTCTTTTGAATGTAACAAATTTGTGACTCATACTTAACTATCTTTTAATGTTTTCATTAGCACTTAAGGAAATCAGAAATGCATTTGATTTATTTAAATTAACTCCAGAAGAAAAAAATGATGTTTCTGAGAATAATCGGAAAAGGGAAGAAATACCACTGGATTTTAAAACCACAGACGATCACAAAACCAAGGAAAACAAACAGTCACTTAAAGAGAGGAGGAACACCCGAGACGAAACGGACACTTGGGCATACATTGCTGCAGAAGGCGATCAGGAGGCTTCAGACAGCGTGTGCCCAGCAGAGGAGAATTCGGGTGAGTCTGGAATCATTTTGCAGATTTTTCAAGATAGTGCACCGTATTATTTTACTGTACTCTTCTCTGTCTATATTTCTGATCTCAAGATAAAAAAATAATGGAGTAAAGAGTTTATTTGGATCTCCTGAATAACATTGTATATTGAAGACGGGTCATTCTGTGACTTCTCAATGGATCAAACAATTTTTCTGAGTTCCTATAATGTTCTCAGCACGTATGGAATTAAAAGATTTCTGATTTTCTACCTTACCTACTCCTACCTGGCAGCCCCATTTTATATCTTACTATTTAATAGATTTCTTTCAGGAAATTATCAAATATAAACTTATTTGTATTTTATCCTTTTAATGTTGTAGCAAATAACACTAAATAAGATTATACTGTAAATGCTGTCCTGAGGACATTGGAACTGGTCGAGAAGAAGAATACAGACTACAGTAGTGGTGGGGAGGAGTACTAAAAAGTGTACATACATGTTTATAACTAGGACCTAATAAACCAGAGAGGTTAGTCTAATAAAACTAGGTATTTTATTCTCTTTGAAGCTATTGTGAATGGGAGTTCATTCATGATTTGGCTCTTGAAAGTGGGATTACTAGGTATTTTATTCTCTTTGAAGCTATTGTGAATGGGAGTTCATTCATGATTTGGCTGGCTGTCTGTTACTGGTGTATAAGAATGCTTGTGATTTTTGCACATTGATTTTGTATCCTGAGACTTTGCTGAAGTTGCTTATCAGCTTAAGGAGATTTTGGGCTGAGACGATGGGGTTTTCTAAATATACAGTCATGTCATCTGCAAACAGGGACAATTTGACTTCTTTTCCTAACTGAATACCCTTTCTTTCTTTCTCTTGCCTGATTACCCTAGCCAGAACTTCCAACACTATGTTGAATAGGAGTGGTGAGAGAGGGCATCCCTGTCTTGTGCCAGTTTTCCAAGGGAATGCTTCCAGTTTTTGCCCATTCAGTATGATATTGGCTGTCGGTTTGTCATAAATAGCTCTTATTATTTGGAGATACATTCCATCAATACCGATTATTGAGAGTTTTTAGCATGAAGGGCTGTTGAATTTTGTCAAAGGCCTTTTCTGCATCTATTGAGATAATCATGTGGATTTTGTCTTTGGTTCTGTTTATATGCTGGATTACGTTTATTGATTTGCGTATGTTGAACCAGCCTTGCATCCCAGGGATGAAGCCCACTTGATCACGCTGGGAGCTGGAGGCTGGAGCTGTTCCTATTCGGCCATCTTGGGCGCGCCCCCAGAAGTGTTAGTTTGAGTTGAGGGCTTTGGAAAAGTTCTTCTTTATTGCATATGTTTTACAGACTTTATTTCTGTGGCAAGGCCATCTGCTTAATGTCATCTATATAGTTTGAGGAATTGGTTTCAGGTGAAAATCCTTTAACTCTTACCATCAAGTATTTGTTTTTCACTTGTAAAACAACCATTGTGAATTACTCCCAGATGAGCTGCACTGAAGTCTGTGATTGCTGTGGTGATAAAGGCTGAACACACACGTCCTCGATGTTCCTGTGCCTGTGGGTCCTGTCGGAGAAGACTCTAGCAGTACCTCACAGGGAGTTGGGTGTGGGTCAGGGCACTGTGGGAGCAGAAGGCTTCCAGATGTAGGGGCACGAGTGAATCTGGAAGGATCCATAAGCAGTGCCTTTGACTCACATGCTGGGGTAGCTCACACATGAGAACAGCTTTATCTGTACATGATGGGAAGCAGTGTATGTCCAAGAAGAATGGTGTAAGGGAGAAAAGTCACATTAGGATTGTATTTCCTCTTACCAGATCCCTGATCCCTCCTTCCTTTCAGCTACTTAGTCTTAAAATTCCTCCTTCGCTATTTTACAATGACAGGTTACCTATTTATCTTCATGCCTTCGGAGTACCATGGCTTCTCAGTGTGAATCGTTCACATTACTTCCCAAAGAAAGTCGGGGATTTTATCAATTAAAAGACCCCATTATACAGTGACTTGTGTGAAAAGTATACATAGAGCTTTGATTAAGACACCACAAATTTCATAACATTGTGGGTTTTTTATACTTAAGACAAATGTACGTTAACAAGGCCATTGTGTGTTCCAGATGGCAGGCAGCAGATTCTGAGTCTGGGCATGGACCTGCAGTTGGAATGGATGAAGTTAGAAGATTTCCAAAAGCACCTTGATGGGAAAGATGAGAATTTTGCTGCAGCAGATGCAATTCCAAGTAGTGAGTGGTTTTGGAAATATTGAAATCCCTTTCACAAATCTAGATTTATAAAATCTAACTTATCTTTCCTTTCATTTTAGATGTGTTAAGGGATGCTGTAAAAAATGGGGATTATATTACTGTAAAAGTTGCACTTAATTCAAATGAAGAATATAACCTGGACCAAGAGGTAATATGTCTTTGAAAAATCTCATGAAAGGAAAATGGAAAGTAACTCTTGAAAGAATTCAAATTAATTTTTCATTTATTTTAATTACAAAAGACTGGGTGTGGTGGCACACACCTATAATCCCAGCACTTTGGGAGGCCGAGGCAGGAGGATTGCTTGAGCCCAGGAATTGGAGACCAGCCTGGGCTCCATGGTGAAACCCCAACTCTACAAAAAATACAAAAATTAGCTGGACATGGTGGTATATGCCTTTGGTCCCAGTTACTTGGGCAGCTGAGGTGGGAGGATCACCTGAGCCTGGGAGGTCAAGGCTGTGGTAAGTTGAGATCGTACCACTGCACCCCAGCCTGGCAACAGAGCAAGACTCTGTCTCAAAAAAAAAAAAAAAGTAATACACGTTCACTTTGTAAAATTAAAAAATTGCAGAACCCTATAAATGTACAATTATAGTCCCTTTAATTCCAACCCCCTTACCCCCCCAAAAGTGATGGTTTGGTTTGGTTTGGTTATGGCTACCTGTTTTGTATGTGGTTTTACCCTCTGCCATTCCGAGAGCATAGAGTGAGACCATTTTCCTATGGCCATTTGTGTTTCTTGGATGGTTGCCCCATTTCCAACAACTGTCCATCTCTCTGTTGTAGCTGGCGTGTTTCATACTGATACGTATGGATTTTTTTTTTTTTTTTGAGGCGGAGTCTCGCTCTGTCGCCCAGGCTGGAGTGCAGTGGCCGGATCTCGGCTCACTGCAAGCTCCGCCTCCCGGGTTCCCGCCATTCTCCTGCCTCAGTCTCCCGAGTAGTGGGGACTACAGGCGCCGCCACCACGCCCGGCTAATTTTTTTGTATTTTTAGTAGGGACGGGGTTTCATTGTGTTAGCCAGGATGGTCTCGATCTCCTGACCTCGTGATCCGCCCGTCTCGGCCTCCCAAAGTGCTGGGATTACAGGCTTGAGCCACCGCGCCCGGCCACGTATGGATTTTTTAATGGAAGTATATTGACCCTTTCTCCCTAGATTTTAGGTTTTGTGTTCTGAGTCTTGTATTGCTTGAAGATTTTTATTTTTAGGCAATTGTATCTGTCGATCTTTTACATTTATGGCTTTTGGGTATCTTGTCTTGCTTAGAAAATATTTTCATATTTTCTTCTTTAGTTTTTTAGCTTCACTGTGGATTTTTTAGGTTTAATCCTTTGGGATTACAATTCACAAAATTATTGGGATTTTGATTAAAATTGCATGAAATAATATAGATTGAGAATTGGCATTTTTATTTACATTTTGCCTCTTCTGTCCAGGAACATGGTAATTCTAATCACTCAGCTCTTCATTTATACCCTTAAGCAAAGTTCTATGGGTTTTTCATTCATATAGACATTGCACATTTCTTCTAGATGTATGCCTGTATGTTTTATGTTTTATTATGGTCATTAGTCTTTTTTCATTTACATTTTGTTTTCTAACTGGTTGCTTGTCAATGGTAAAGCTATGGATGTCTTTGTACACATATGTATGTGTGACTCCAGTCATTTAATGAAATTCTCTTCTAGTTTTTAAGTTACTTGTTTTGGATTTTCTAGGTAGAAAATTTGATCATATGCCCCCCAGAAATTCACTGTTCATTTTATATGGTACAAACTTTTCATGTACCTTTAGGATTTCATACACAAAACAAAATCAAAGAAGATACAAAAATGAGAGCTGGGTGTAGTGGCGTGCACCTGTAATCTCAGCTACTCGAGGCTGAGGCAGGCGCCCAGGAGTTTGAGACCAGCCTGGGCTGACATAAGAACACTCTGTCTCAATAAAAAAGAAAGAAAGAAAACCACCACCAACAAAAAAAAATTCAAGCATTCCTTGGAGATATTGTGGGTTTGGTTCCAGACTGTTGGAATAAAGCGAGTCACACAAATTTGTTGGTTTCCTCGTGCATATAAAAGTTAGGTTTACACTATACTGTAGTCTGTGAATAGCATTACATCTTTTAAAAAAACTATATATCTTAATTTACAACACTTTATTGCTAAAAATGGCTGACACAACACAAAATGGGCACATGCTGTGGGGTACTGGTGTGAACAAACGTGCCTGTGGCAGGGTTGCCACAGACCTTCAATTTGTAAAAAACACAGTCCCTGTGAAGCTCGGTAAAGCAAAGCTCAGTGAAACGAGGTAGGCCTACAGAGGAAAGCGTAAAATTTTATGCAAACATTTATATGTGAAAAAATATTCTAAAAGCTACTAGTTTATGATGGTTGGGGTATGTGAAAAAATATTCTAAAAGCTACTCGTTTATAATGGTTGGGATATTTTAGCGAAAATCCTAAGTAGATGCCTAAATCAATGCCCGTTAGTGATTTCACATTGAAACATCTCAAGTGAGAAGACTTGGTTCTGAAATTGTTCTAAAGATTAACACGTTTTTTATTTAACAAAACCAACACAGGATTCTAGTGGAATGACACTGGTGATGCTTGCCGCCGCGGGAGGGCAGGACGACCTCCTGCGACTCCTCATAACAAAAGGCGCGAAAGTGAACGGTCGGCAGAAAAACGGGACCACCGCCCTCATTCATGCCGCAGAGAAGGTTTGTGGCTTCTCGTGCATCCGTTTCAGAGCTTTCATTCCTGCCGATGGACTGAGAGGACCTCTTTGGTAGTGAAATACAGCAATCACACGGCCACATAGCTTTTTTTTTTTTTTTTTTTTTTAAAAGACAGAGTCTTGCTCTGTCCCCCAGGCTGGAGTGCAGTGGCACGATCTCGGCTCACTGCAACCTCTGCCCCCCGGGTTCCAGCAGTTCTCCTGCTTCAGCCTCCCTAGTAGCTGGGATTATAGGTGCCCACCACCACGCCCAGCTAATATTTGTATTTTTAGTAGAGACAGTGTTGCCATATTGGCCAGGCTGGTTTCGAACTCCTGACCTCAAGTGACCCACCCGCCTTGGCCTCCCAAAGTGCTAGTATTACAGGAGTGAGCCTCTGCGCCTGGTCTGCTCCAGTTCTACTTTCTAATAGTATTTTATTATTGTCGTATTATATTATGAAATAACACTTTCCTTTTTTTGAGACGGAGTCTCGCTCTGTGGCCCAGGCCGGAGTGAGTGGCAGGATCTCGGCTCACTGCAAGCTCCGCCTCCCGGGTTCACGCTATTCTCCTGCCTCAGCCTCCCGAGTAGCTGGGACTACAGGCGCCGCCACCACACCCGGCTAGTTTTTTGTATTTTTAGTAGAGACAGGGTTTCACTGTGTTAGCCAGGATGGTCTTGATTTCCTGCCCTCGCGATCCTCCTGCCTTGGCCTCCCTAAGTGCTGGGATTACAGGTGTGAGCCACCGTGCTCAGCCATCACATGGTCCCATAGCTTTTTAAAAAATTCGTTTTAGAAATAAGGTCTCCATCTGTGGCACAGAGGGGAGTGCAATGGCACCATCATAACTCACTGTGGCTGGGAACTCCTGGTCTCAAGCAGTCCTCCTGCCTCAGCCTCCCGAGTCGCTGGGCCTGTGTGTACCACCACACCTGGCTAGTTTTAAAAATGTTTGTAGAGACATGGTCTCACTGTGTTGCCCAGCCTGGGCTCAAGGAATCCTCCCACCTCGGTTGAAGTGCTGGGATTACAGGCATGAGCCGCCACCCCCAGCTGGAGGAACTTTTTAACTTCATGTTTCATTTGATCTGTGACATGTAATGAATGGATTTATCATTAGTAGTGCATTGTAATCACATTTCAAAATGTGATTTATCTCGTTAGAAGTAATTTATATTAAAATGCTTGATTAAAGTACTAATATTTTCATCTTAAATAATTTAAAATTTTTTCCAATGGTATTAGTATTCCTTTTGGTTAATAATTTAGTTGAAAAGTTCCCATATATTATCTTTTTAAAGGATTTATATGTAGAGGTTCTTAGGTTGGAGCTAGCGATTCCGTTTCGGTAGCGGTTGCTGGCAGCACAGTGAGTGGCGAAATCTGGGCCTCTGTGGGGCAGGGCTCACCCCCGCGGCCCCACAGCAAGGCTGTGACCCACAACCACTTGTGATAGAACCTGCTGGGTATTCTTCCTGATGACTTAAGAATTTCACAATATCTGAAAACTGTCTTTCAAATAATTTGGGGAATTAAATTTGCTTGTTTTTCTTTTCATAGAACTTTTTAACAACAGTGGCTATTCTTTTGGAAGCGGGAGCTTTTGTCAACGTCCAGCAGAGCAATGGTGAGACCGCACTGATGAAGGTAAATCCCTCCTGTGGGTTGTCCCTTCTTCAGTACCTTGGCAGGTGCTTGTGTTAGCATCTGCCACTGCCCGGCGCTGTGCTGGGGCCTGAGAACAGAGTGGGTATCAAGACAGTCCTGGAGTCCAGCCACTTGCAGGGGAGGAGGAGAAGCGGGCTGGCAGGGCAGCAGTGAGCTCAGAGCGGGCAGTGGTGTGATCAGAACAGCACAGAGAGCCATGAGGTCACAGGGAAGTGCTCCGAGCTGGGCCTTGGGGACCCTGGCAATCTGTAGGGTGGATGAGGCAGGTGCCACACTGTATCCTAAACGGCAGTCAAGTCAGCAGGGAGGGAGCACTCTGGCTGCAGCTGGAGCAGCAGGGAGGCTGCCGGCCTGGAAGGAGCAGGCCTGGGCGTGGGACGGAGCTGCTCGTGCACTCTGTGTTCCTCATTTGATGTTGGTGAATTTGTCGCCTCGGGCTTGTTCCTGTGTTCCGGAACGTGGTTTGCAGACAGGTTTTGAAAGAAAGGTCGACCGTTTGGCATTTGTCTTGGGGACACTGCACGGTCTGATTGGTTCCTCTGCAGCAATTGTGGGTTCCTGGCCCCGGATGCTATTAGGATATAGCAGGTCCAGACACCCAGCCAGCAGTGGCCAGCTCAGCTCCCCGTGGGCACCTGTCCTCTTTCCTCCCTGGGATGCTTGGCTCCATGTAAGCCATTGAGCCCAGCAGGAGCCTGCCCACAGCGCCCATTCCAGCCTCTGTCCCCAGTAAGCAAAAGAGCACAGCCAGGCCCTGGGTCTGCAGGGCACCTGGCATCCAGTCTCACCGTGAACCGTCTTCTGATGGCCCGGACCACCTGTCTCTTGTCCTCCTGCCGCACGAGGCCCATAAACAGTCTCCTCCTGTTGCCCAGGCTGGAGTACAGTGGCGCCATCATGACTCACTGCAGCCTCGGCTTCCCGAGCTCAAGTGCCTCTCACCTCAGCCTCCCGAGTAGCTAGGACTGTGGTTGTCTCATGTGGAGCAGTGGTGGCCTCTCAAAGCATCATCTTGGTGACAGATGACCCGGTGCACCCTGAACTGCAGCCATGCAGATGCATCTAGAGCATGAGAGAGGTGGGCGGGCACAGAAGCCTGCTCATGCGAAGCCTTAGGGAGTGCGTCCAGAGGGCCCTGGGGAGCCACAGCAAGGTTGAAGCTGAAGAAGGGTGGAATCAGATTCGAGGGTTTTCATTTGTGTGTTTTAATGCTTCGTAGTACAGAAGGGGCATAGATTGGGAGGAGGACAGTTTGCAGACTTGTTGTCTCCAGGTTATGTGAAATAACAGAAGTCTGTACCTGGGTCATGGCAGGAGGGATGGAGTGGGTGAGCTGGCCACTTGGTAAGAGGTACAATTCACAGAGCTTGGTAACTGGAGGGGATGCCTGGTCACCCCATTTCCTAAGTTGGGGGCCCAGGTGGCACAGATGGAGGGGGTTGGGTATTGGGTCGTGTAGATGTCACCTCTG